CTTTAGGGTTGGCAAGAGACTTGGCTCTAGAGGGGATCCCAGGTGTCCACGGGGATGTCCCCAGCTAGGCCCTAAAACACATTCTATTTATAATTCTCTTTACTGTGTGAATTCATCATATTATCTCTTATTCTTTTACTATACTTTAGTGATTGTAGGATAGATTCCAATTACATGAAAAATGAAGCCAGCAATTAACAATGGGGGCCTCATGAAATTATAAAGCTTCTATACGGAAAAACCAGTCATTAATTAAAGTGAGAACCTACAAAGTGGTATTAAAATAATTTCTAGCTCTATATCACACATAGGATTAATAACTGGAATATACAAAAAATTTAAAAACTAAAAAGAAATCAAACAATGTGATCAATAAAAAAGGCTGATGCTATTAACAGACAGTTCTCAAAAGATGAAATACAAATAGCTAATAAACATACAAAAATAGTCAACTTCGTCATCTATCAGAAAAATACAGATACAACTACATATAATATAATAGTTCTGGGAGAAGATTTTGCTTTCTTTAATAATATGACATAACCCCTGGTAGACTGACCACAAACCAGTGCAGGTGCCATTCCCCAAATTACCAGGAACATAGAACCTGGATTCTGTGCAGGAAGAAAAAGAGGAAGAATAAATTCCAATGTTGAGTGAGAAGAGCTAAAAGCATGGAGAGGGTAACTATGGGAGGAGTTGGGGAAAGGACACAAATACTATTAGAATACATTGTAGGAGATTCTCAAAGAATTAATATAAGTGTTGTTTAAAAAAATCTTTATTATTCAATGAGGCCCTTAATGTCTGTGCTGCTGGGGTTATACTTAGGAAGTGGTCTCCTGTGCCCATGTGTTGTAGAGTACTTCCCACTTTCTCTTCTATCAGGTTCAGTGTGTTCGGACTGATATTGAGGTCTTTAATCCATTTGGACTTGAGTTTTGTGCATGGTGATAGATATGGATCTATTTTCATTCTTCTACAGGTTGACATCCAGTTTTGCCAGCACAATTTGTTGAAGATGCTCTCTTTTTTCCATTGTATACTTTTAGCTCCTTTATCGAAAATCAGGTGTTCATAGGTTTGTTGGTTAAAGTCAGGGTCTTCTATTCGATTCCATTGTTCAACTTCTCTGTTTTTATGCCAGTACCAAGCTGTTTTCAATACTGTAGCTCTGTAATAGAGTTTGAAGTCAGGGATGGTAATGCCTCCAGAAAATCCTTTATTGTATAAGATTGTTTTGGCTTGGGAATATACCCAAGAGAGGCCCCATCATACAACAAAAGTATATGCTCAACTATGTTCATAGCAGCATTGTTTGTAATAGCCAGAACCTGGAAATAACCTAGATGCCCTTCAATGGAAGAATGGATGAAGAAAGTATGGAATATATACATATTAGAGTATTACTCAGCAGTAAAAAACAAGGACTTCTTGAATTTTGCATACAAATGGATGGAAATAGAAAACACTGTCCTGAGTGAGGTAAGCCAGACCCAAAAAGAGGAACATGGGATGTACTCACTCATATTTGGTTTCTAGCCATAAATAAAGGACATTGAGCTTATAATTCACGTTCCTAGAGAAGCTATATAAGAAGGTGAATCCAAAGACAAACATATAGTCATCCTCCTGAATATTAACCTTCATCAGGCAATGAAATGAGACAGAGACAGAGACCCACATTGGAGCACCGTACAGAAATCTCAAGGTCCAAATCAGGAGCAGAAGGAGAGGGACCATGAGCAAGGAACTCAGGACCGCGAGGGGTACACCCACACACTGAGACAATGGGGATGTCCTATCGGGAACTCACCAAGGCCAGCTGGCCTGGGTCTGAAAAGGCATGGGATAAAACCGGACTAGCTGAACATAGTGGACAATGAGGACTACTGAGAACTCAAGAACAATGGCAGTGGGTTTTTGATCTTACTGCACGTACTGGCTTTGGGGGAGCCTAGGCAGTTTGGATGCTCACCTTACTAGACCTGGATAGAGGTGGGCGGTCCTTGGGCTTCCCACAGGTCAGGGAACCCTGATTGCTCTTCGAGCTCATGAGGGAGGGGAACTTGATCGGGGGAGGGGGAGGGAAATGGGAGGCGGTGGCGGGGAGGAGGCAGAAATCCTTAATAAATAAATAAATTTAAAAAAAAAGCTTTTCAGCATCTAAAAAAATCTTTATTATTGTGGAGATCTACAATGTTGCTTGTTCGATTTCAAATTATTTTGCCTTTTTTAAACCTCCTTAATAGCAATTCATGGCCCACGTCTTCATCTGTCCTACCATCTTTGTTGCTAACAGGTCAAAAGCTTTTGGATTTTATTAAGCGGTCACTAGTTTCTATCAACACAGCAGAAAATACCATTAGATGGCAGAAGCCTGTAAAGCAGAATTTGTCACTTTGTTGCAATCTATCTACCTGATATTTTCACAAATGTATTTTTAAGGTGCTTGAATTATGACTTTATTTTTGTTTATAACTGTAAAACTTCATAAAATTGCTTCCACATTGGAACATGTTATATAGCCTAACCTAAATCTGTGTTCCTGGTCTGTGGTCATGCATATATACTCGAAGGATAAATTATCTCTCATTCTATATAATTTAAGAACTGTGCTTTAGATTGACAATAACTTTTCTTTCATTAAAAATTTTAAAATCAACTAAATTGGTATATATTTCAAAAATGTGTACTGGGACCAATAAGATGGCTCAAACATTAAGAGTGCTTGTCACACAAGACTGACAACTGGAGTTTGATCTCCGGAACTGACAAAAAGCATATGCAGTAGCTTGCATCTGCAACTCAAGTACTTCTGCTAGGAGGTGGGGGTACAGAGGTAAGAGAATCTCTGAGAAGTTCTTGGACCAGCAGGTCCAGGTATGCAGAATGGTGAAAATAATAAAGAACCTGTTGAAACAAGGTGGATGAAACAAGTAAGCTTCCCAAAGTTGTTCTCCCCATGAAATTGTGAAATTGGCCTGGCCCAACTGCCATAAGAGGCATGGTAATACAAATTAGGATAGAAAGCAAATTAGGTTAAAAACTTTGAACTCAACAAGATAGGATAAATAATGGAATTTTTTTCTGAATTTGCCAAATACAGATGGACTGGACATAGCACATATAACTCTTACCTGATAATTGTTCTTATTGTACATAGTTTTATTATATTATAGTCTAAACATTTCCTTTTTATTTAGACAAAAAGAGGAAATGTTGTGGGATATTGGTACATTGTGTGAAGATATATTGCTGTGACTGATGTAATAAAAATTTGAATGGCTGAGAGCTAAGCAGGAGGAATAGAGAAGATTTCCTGTGAGAGAAAAGGAGGATGAATCTAGGCATGTGAGAGACACCAGGAAACATAAAATGGAAACATGAGATGTAAGATGGACAAGAGTTAATGACACATGATACAATGTAGATTACTATAAATGGTCTAATTTGTTATAAGAACTTATTAGGAAGGAGACTAAGCTACAAACTGAGGTTTTAAAATTAATAATATTTCCATGTCATTATTTGTGAGCTGGTGTCCCAAAGGGAAGTCCAACTATATAACCTTTGTTTCAAAAGTAAATGCAGGCACTTACAGTCCTGTAACCTTCAGATATATGCATGATATCTTCATGTATGCACATACATGTAAATACACAAACAGGCACAAATATTTGCATATATGCAGCATTAGGATTGCTAATGCATTTGTGTAAAGCTGATTTCTATGATAGTAACTGTTTTCATCCAAAATAGATGCATTATAGTTATAGCTTATTTGATTCTTTATTGATATTTTTAGTTTATTACCGGTAGGGTAAGGAATTGCTATTGATTTTATTATCCCAATACACCATCTTTTCTTTATTAACATTGATTATAAAATATCTTTGTTAAGAAATGTAAGCATGAGCTAGGTGGTGATGGCGCACGCCTTTAATCCCAGAAGTCAGGAGGCAGAGGCAGGCAGGTGGATCTCTGTGAGTTTGAGGCCAGCCTGGTCTACAAGAGCTAATTCCAGGACAGGCTCCAAAACTACAGAGAAACCCTGTCTTGAAAAATAAAAAAAGAAAGAAATGAAAGTCACACTCTATTCCATAGATGTTTACAGTGTGTAAAAGTAAGACTATCCTGACTATTTCACAGTAGTGAAAAATAAAATATCCTAATGCTTTTTAATCTTATAAAAGTCTAAACAAAGGGCTAAACAAAATCGTTCAGTAGGTTAGAGAACTTGTAAGAACAAGGATCTGGGTTTGATTTCCGGCACTTGGTTGCTCAACACAGCCAGTAACACTAGTTCCAGGAGATACAATGCCCTCTTTTGATCTCTGTGGGCATCAGGCATGAGCATGGTCCACAGACATATATGCAGGTACTAACACTTAAACACAAATTTTTTAAGTTTTGAATAATTTAGTTTCTGGGGACATCATTCACAAGCACTGCATCTAGATCATTGCCTCCTCTTCTCTACCCTCTACCTTAGCCCGTGTCCACCCTTCCCAAATCTTGTCTTTTTTGTCACATACATATAAATTAATATATGTTAGTGTGTGTGTGTGTGTGTGTGTGTGTGATCTACTGTTTCCACCTAGTTTTTATAATATGTACATATTTTCAGGACTGGTCAGTTGATATTGAACAACCTATACAGGACCTTGTCCCTTGAGGAGACTGATTCTCCTTTTATCAGATGTAGCTCTTCAGCTGGGGGTGGGGGTGACTATCATTGGAATTTTTGGTCAGGGGCATGAAAGAGACTCCCACAAAAGATATTGTTAATGCCCTTTGTTGCCTCCCAGAGTATGAAGAGAAGACCCTATCCTATCACTGGAGACACCACACATTCCAGACACAGGACTTAGAAATGTCACATGTCACAAAAGTATAATCCATCTTGAAAGAATTTTAAGAAGAAAGTGCATAGCCACCATTTCCTGCTTATCTAGAATGTGTTTTGTTGGGCTGTTGGAAAGAAGAACAAATCATTTTCATCTAGTTTTTTCCTTTAGTTTCTCCAATACTTTTTTTAAAGCCCCGATCACGTCATTGTTCCTCAAGCTGTAGATAAGGGGATTGAGCATTGGGGTCACTACAGCATAGAAGAGAGCAACCATCTTCTCCTGTTCCGCTGAGGATCTGCCCACAGGCCTCATGTAAGTAAATGTGGCTGTTCCAAAGCACATGGAAACCACCGTGAGATGAGAAGCACAAGTCCCAAAGGCTTTGCGTCGGCCCTGGGAAGAGCGAATACGGAGAATGGCCGCGACTATGTGAGCATAGGAAAAGAGCACCAGGATGCAGGGAAGCATGATCACCAGAAATCCCGAGATGGCCACCATGACCTTGTTGAGGGAGATGTCCACACAAGACAGCCTTAGCACAGCCAGCATCTCACAGGCAAAGTGATTGATGACCTTATGACAGAAGGGTAACTGGAAGATCATGACGGTTTGCATTAGTGAGTTTGTGAGACCAGCAGTCAGGCAAGCCGAAGCCAATCCCAGGCACAGCCATCCATGCATAATGACCTTGTAGTGCAGAGGGTAGCACACTGCCACGTAGCGGTCATAGGCCATAGCACCTAACAGGAAGAACTCCGTGCTGCCCATTGCTAAGGAGATATACAGCTGCATCACACATCTGTGAAATGAGATGGACTTCCAGGCTGACAAGAAGTGGATGAGCATCTGGGGCACCGTGCTGTTGGTGTAACAGATGTCCACAAAGGACAGGATGCTGAGGAAGAAGTACATGGGTGTATGGAGCCTGCTGTCCAACACTATGAGGAGGATGATGAGCAGGTTCCCTAGGACGGTCAGCAAGTACATGGCCAGGAACAGCACAAACAAGGAGACTTGAGTCCCCCAGTCGCTGGATAACCCCAGCAGTAAGAACTCACTCACCCATGTCTGGTTTTCCTTGCCCATTAGTTTCCTGAGAATTAAGCCCAAGTTATATATCAACAAATATCAGATCATAACCAAAACCCTTCAAAGAACTTCCATTAAATGGAAAATTTACTAACATGCTTGGATCATTCTATTGAAAAGTATGACCATAAAACTTCAGTCTCTCCTTTACATTCAATTTTCATCTTAAGTTTGTGACTTTGCTGAATGTCAATTTCCCAGAACCCACAGTGAGATAGCTTAACAGTTATAAACACTTTCTATTGATTTACTTTTTATTGCTGAGTTCTTCAACTCTACAAAAAATGACATTCTATTTTTTTCTTTGTCTACTCAAAAATTGTGAGTTTCAATTTAGAAAACAGAAAGTGCGAGTAGATTTTCTTTGAGGTACAAGGAAATGTCAAAAACACCATTTCAGAGTTAGTAAAAATTTAAAAGTAAAATTTTTGTGACCCTGTCCTGTCTTTAAAATCTTCATGATTGTCTTTGTATCTTCGAAGACACCAGGGAATCATCCCCAGTGTTATGTTTTTCCTCCAGAAGAGTGGCAAAGAAGAGGTTAACGTTAGAGTATATCTGTAAAGACACAAGGCCAATTCAGAAATGCACTAGCTGGCATCTCTCTTAAATATAATATCTAACCCTACCACAGATACTGCCTTTAACCATGGAACCATAGAAATCATTTCCTTTAACCATACGACCATGAACATCATTACCTAAAACCATGGGACCACAGAAATCATTATCTATAACCGTGGGACTATGGAAATCTAGCAACACATTCCAACTGTCCTCTCAGATCCATATGAGACCTCCAGGCATAGGACTTTGATCATCTACGTAGGAAACAGACAGCTGATGCAGGATATTTTTGGATCTGCCAAAAGGGAGCACAGATTAAAGTCTGCCCTGTTTACTTGGGAAAGAGAAGAATAGCATTGGAGGAAGGAAGGGAGAGTTACATTCCTTCTAACAAGTTCTTAGCCAAGAAGGAAAAAGGGATGTAATGTGACTGACTCTAACAATGCCTGAAGACTATGGATCCAGCTATGGATCCCAGCACAAGTTTGAGACACACCAGTATTCTACCATGATACTGTCCAGAGTCTGCTTCCTCAGAACAATGGACTCTGTGTTTCATAACTGCAGCAGCAGAACATTTTCATACAAGCATAGGCATAAGGGATGGGGATGGAGATGCTTAGGTGAGCAGATAACCTGTCTAGTAGAAACAAATGTGGATGTATTTCACATTTTTTTTCTGAAGAGGCAGAGAGATTGAAGAGGCTTTTCCCCGTCTGTGAGACTTTTGGAAACCACTTGTGACTTTAATAAAGTGTGAACACAAGGTTACTAAGAGCTTCTGAGGACATTTATCAACACAGAACCCTTAAGGCTTCAGAGATACAAGAACATCGTCAACATCAAAAGTCTTGGATTGTCATGTACCTGTTAGATTGCTGTCCTCTGACTGCCTGAGTTATAGTCCAGAGAGAATGGGGAAAGCTTGAGAGAAGACAGATGTCTGAGGCACTGAAATATCTGGGAGATGAATCTAAAAGGGCCTGTTCCTCAGTCTGAGTACCCAAAATGTGTCTTCTTAGAGTAGGACATCAGGACTTGACCTGTAGCTCTTTAGTAACCAATTTCAGTCCAACCCTTGGAGGCTTCAGCAAGCAGAGAGAGGCTGAGTGGTATGGAGACCCTGGCTCTATGCCGCTGGTGCCATCTTCACTGGGACATCTCCAAGAGAGGAGTCTGGCATTGCCTAGGTGCCGGTGAGGGCTGTTTTGGAAGAAGGAACTTTTCTCCTCAGAGATGAAATCTCTACAGGCCAATTATGCCATGCTTGTTAGGCTTTGGTTACTTTCTGTTACTTTTGTTCTTAGTTGATCTCTGACTTTAAAAATAAAAGCAAAAACAAAATACTCAACTTTGCCCCTTTACTTGGAAATTTCTAAGTAGTCGTTTATCTCTAAATTCTTATCTATACTGGAGACTTTAAAATGACAGTTTAGAGTTCACTAAGCAGGAGCTCAAGAAGGGACTATGAACTCCGATGCCCCCCAGGGGACAGTCCTCTGATTTCATTAAAAGTAGACTTGGAGGAAGTTGGAGTGCGAATCAATGACCTGAGTTTTGCCAACAATACCGCACTACTTGCTGAAAGTCCAAACGAGCTGTAGACCATGGTAAACAGAGTGGTGGAAGTCAGTGAAAACCTTGGAATGAAAGTAAACATTGAGAGACTGAGATGCAACACATGGGAAGGACGTTAACAGTGTAATAAAGAATGAGAAGCTCAAGCAAAAAGTCAGCTTTGTCTATCTGGGAGGAAACCTCAGTTCAAAGGAGGGAACTATATCAGATGTCAAGAGGAGGATAGAAATAGCTAGGGCTGCATTCCAGGCAATAGGAAAGGTTTGGTCAGCAAGAGACATAGCAACGACCACAAAATTACAAGTACATGAGACACTTGTCTTCAGCTGCCTTCTTTTCAACCCTGAAACCTGGACAATGAAACACTCCTCAGAACAGTGGCTGAATGTGTTTGAGATGACATGTCTCAGGAGGATTCTAGGTGTCACACGAAGAGATAGGCTGCTCAATGATGACATTAAGAAACATCTTCATCTATATTAAGAAATAAACTACAGGATTTGGCAACGGTGCTTGAGATACTTCAGCCATGTTATGAGAATGAGTGATGGCAGATACCCGAAGGCAGCACTGCTTGAAGGAATGCATAGGATACAGCAAAGAGGAAGGCCACCCAAAATGCTGGATAGACAGCATGAAGAAAGTCTCTGGAACCTTGAGTATGACAATAATATAAGCATCTAGGACTGTGCAGAATAGGAACAACTGGAGAACCACCATTAATGGGCTGCCCATGCATGCTTAAGTATTCCTGGGGCATATATGATGATGATGATGATAATGATGATGATGATGATGATAATGATGATGATGATGATGATGATGATGATGATGATGATGATGATGAACTTAGGGAAAGATTCCACCCAGCTAACTTTCCAACTTGTAAAAAGGAATTAAAGAAAATCTTGGAGTCAAGTTTGGTGGGTCACACCTTTAATCTCTGCACTCTGAAGGAAGAGGCTGCCAGATATCTGAGTTTAAGTCTAGCCTGGTCTACAGAGTAAGTTTCAGGATAGCCAAGCTCAGGCAGTGAAAGACAGAAATCTCATGAAGATGTAACTGAATGAGAGGGCTCTTGTTCCAGCCCCAGCAAACAGCCGTACTTGGCAGCTTTGGCCATCTGGTTCTGAGTTTACAGTTAAGCATACAAGAAATGAGTTATGGAATAAAGCTTTGAGGTCAGATATGTGTCAGGAGTGTCCCTGAATGGAGGCCTAATAGAGAGGCCACTGCATGAAGTTGTGATGTTGAAGCCTGGATTGCCTTGGAGAACCCAAGATGTTAGAGATGCCAATGGGATGCCTGCAAAGAAGAGCTGCTAACAGGGAGTGGAACCAGCCCAAGTGTGTTGTTGTCAGCAAAGCTGAATGGAGTCAGAGATGAAAAGAACATTTTGACATCAGACTTGGAGATACAGAATTTGGAGTTTGCCCAGCTGGTTTTCAGTCTTCCTTTGGTCCAGTATTTCCTTGCTATGTTCTATTCCCTGAGTTTTGGAATGGTAATGTATATCCTGTGCCATTATATGTTGAAACTATGTGATCTGTTTTTTTGATTTTTATTTTACATGTGATTGCAGTTAAGAGATTTCATGAATCTCAGAAGAAACTTTGAACTTTTAAACATTGCTGAGGCTGCGATAGACTACGGGGAACTTTTCATTATGATAGTTACAAGCTTATGCGAGCCAGGGAGTGGATTGTGGTAGTTTGAGTGTAATTGGCTCCAGTAATCTCTCAGGAAGTGGCATTCTGAAGAGGTGTGGCTTTGTTGGAGTGAGTATGGCCTTGTTGGAGAAAATGTGTCACTGTGGGGGCGGGCTTTGAGGTTTCCTATGCACAGGATATGGCCCAATCTCTCAGTGGACTTCCTGGCAGATGTGGTGCTGGAGATGAGAGTGCTACATCTTGTAGATAACAGGAAGTCCCTATCATGATGATAATGGACTGAACCTCTGAAACTGTAAGCAAGCCACCCCATCTTAATGTCTTCTTTATAAGCTGCCTTGGTCATGGTGTCTCTTCATAGCAATGAAAATCCTAACTTAGATATCTGACCTCTGTGTGCTCTTTTCTAGGTCAGACAGACTCTTGGAGTGACATCTGCCACAAACTTCTTGTGATTCATATAGTTCCTCCATGCTATGGCCATGGTGGAAGTGACAGTGGGAACTGTTGCGACCCTCAGCTTCAGACACGCACCACGCTTCTGCTGTAGTCTGTGCCATCTTTTTGGCTTGAAGTTTGTTCTCCAACCAGCATGCTATCTATCAACATTTGTGACCTTCAGCTCAGAGGATCTTAGCATTTAGGGATTTCTCCTGGTGCTTCTATGAAACTGGAACTGAGCATTCCCGATAAAGTCTCCACTGAATATTCTGTTCTCAGGCTGCTTGTGATCTAATTATTGTTATCTGCCATCTTGTCAATGATTTCTATGAGCACTTGTTTGACTTTTGCTACGATATCTCTGCCCCTGAGTTGTGATTGCTTTACTGTATGTGGTTGTAGCCTTAACTGCTGGGTCAGTCTGTGGATTGTAGCAACTTATCAATCATTCAGTGCCACCAACACATGAAAAACACTCATTGGTATTTACCATATAGCACCAGCAACAGTTACATCAGTCAATGTAACAAAATAGAGGATTAGATCAACTTTAAGATAAACAATAAATACCTGATTGTCTGAGGACTATATAGCCTTCAATTACTTTTAGTTTTTATTTATTTTTTATTTTCAGATTTTCAGATTTTGTGTGTATGAGTGCTTTGCTGGCATGAATGTCAGTCTACTACTATGGGGGCTAGAGGATTGCATCAGATCCTGTGGAACTGGATGTATAGACAG